TGAGAGTAAATTGGGTTAAAATTTAAAAAATATTTTCATAAATATATATAAAATTCCAATAGACAATATTGTATTATTCATTTCATAGTGAATCTCTTGACTATTCAAGATCAGCGATCGTTCCAGCAAATCTGAAGGTCTTTTAGGAACATTCAATTAAATGTTGCGAGAACATATAGTCTAGTCTATAGTCTAGTCTATAGTCTAGTCTATAGTCTAGTCTATAGTCTAGTCTATAGTCTAGTCTATAGTCTAGTCTATAGTCTAGTCTATAGTCTAGTCTATAGTCTAGTCTATAGTCTAGTCTATAGTCTAGTCTATAGTCTAGTCTATAGTCTAGTCTATAGTCTAGTCTATAGTCTAGTCTATAGTCTAGTCTAGTCTAGTCTATAGTCTAGTCTATAGTCTAGTCTATAGTCTAGTCTATAGTCTAGTCTATAGTCTAGTCTATAGTCTAGTCTATAGTCTAGTCTATAGTCTAGTCTATAGTCTAGTCTATAGTCTAGTCTATAGTCTAGTCTATAGTCTAGTCTATAGTCTAGTCTATAGTCTAGTCTATAGTCTAGTCTATAGTCTAGTCTATAGTCTAGTCTATAGTCTAGTCTATAGTCTAGTCTATAGTCTAGTCTATAGTCTAGTCTATAGTCTAGTCTATAGTCAGTCTATAGTCTAGTCTATAGTCTAGTCTATAGTCTAGTCTATAGCTAGTCTATAGTCTAGTCTATAGTCTAGTCTATAGTCTAGTCTATAGTCTAGTCTATAGTCTAGTCTATAGTCTAGTCTATAGTCTAGTCTATAGTCTAGTCTATAGTCTAGTCTATAGTCTAGTCTATAGTCTAGTCTATAGTCTAGTCTATAGTCTAGTCTATAGTCTAGTCTATAGTCTAGTCTATAGTCTAGTCTATAGTCTAGTCTATAGTCTAGTCTAAGTCTAGTCTATAGTCTAGTCTATAGTCTAGTCTATAGTCTAGTCTATAGTCTAGTCTATAGTCTAGTCTATAGTCTAGTCTATAGTCTAGTCTATAGTCTAGTCTATAGTCTAGTCTATAGTCTAGTCTATAGACTAACTATAGTCTAGACTATAGACTAGACTATAGACTAGACTATAGACTAGACTATAGACTAGACTATAGACTAGACTATAGACTAGACTATAGACTAGACTATAGACTAGACTATAGACTAGACTATAGACTAGACTATAGACTAGACTATAGACTAGACTATAGACTAGACTATAGACTAGACTAGACTAGACTAGACTAGACTATAGACTAGACTATAGACTAGACTATAGACTAGACTATAGACTAGACTATAGACTAGACTATAGACTAGACTATAGACTAGACTATAGACTAGACTATAGACTAGACTATAGACTAGACTATAGACTAGACTATAGACTAGACTATAGACTAGACTATAGACTAGACTATAGACTAGACTATAGACTAGACTATAGACTAGACTATAGACTAGACTATAGACTAGACTATAGACTAGACTATAGACTAGACTATAGACTAGACTATAGACTAGACTATAGACTAGACTATAGACTAGACTATAGACTAGACTATAGACTAGACTATAGACTAGACTATAGACTAGACTATAGACTAGACTATAGACTAGACTATAGACTAGACTATAGACTAGACTATAGACTAGACTATAGACTAGACTATAGACTAGACTATAGACTAGACTTAGACTAGACTATAGACTAGACTATAGACTAGACTATAGACTAGACTATAGACTAGACTATAGACTAGACTATAGACTAGACTATAGACTAGACTATAGACTAGACTATAGACTAACTATAGACTAGACTATAGACTAGACTATAGACTAGACTATAGACTAGACTATAGACTAGACTATAGACTAGACTATAGACTAGACTATAGACTAGACTATAGACTAGACTATAGACTAGACTATATGTTCTCGCAACATTTAATTGAATGTTCCTAAAAGACCTTCAGATTTGCTGGAACGATCGCTGATCTTGAATAGTCAAGAGATTCACTATGAAATGAATAATACAATATTGTCTATTGGAATTTATATATATTTTATGAAATATTTTTTAAATTTTAACCCAATTTTACTCTCAGTGTATAATTGTGTTTATGTACATATGTAATTGCAAACATGTTTCAGTTTATTTATGTGAAATTACAAGGACACGATTTATAAGAAATATAAACTTTCGTTTAACAATTTCAACACCATCATCTTCATTATCATCCAATATAACTACCGGTTTCATTCATATGATCATCACGATCATCTTCAGTAAATGAATCGCATGCAAGCTCAATGATGATCCACTTGCTATACGTTGTTGGTTGCAGCATGCATGTTTAGGGCATCCTCTTACATGCATGTAAGTAAAACTGGTTCCAGAGTGTATGGACAACATGTTGTAACTGCATTCTGGACACATGTTTTCTTTTTTTTTTTGATGATGTGTTAGTGCGCGTGCAAATATTGCAAAGTGTGGTGTGCATAAATACCATTAATAATTGCAGGTATGCAAGAGTAAACTTGATGATTATCATTGGAATGTTTTTTTTGAAGTAAAAACGAAACAAATTTATAACATTTTTTTTGGAGGTTTCAGGTTTTTCATTGTGGTTGTTGGTAGTTGTCATAATTTATGGACTAAAACTACATGCATTTTAACATGCGGTCAAACGTGCCTTATCTTTGTAGTTTATTAAAAAAGGACTTAAATTATTAAAAGTATAATATAAATTATGTTTAAATCCTTCAAAGGGTATTTAAAACAAAGCTTTAACAAAAGTACGTTTTATTGGAAAAAATTAGGTTGATTTTAATTTATATCTTTAAATAAAAATATTTAACTTGTTGGTGAAATAATGTTATCTTTAACTATTGAATAATATAAAAAAACATAAATATTTTTTATGACTGTTTATGTCTTCAACAATCTGTTTGCATGATAAACAACAACAAAATGCCTGTATATCACTGAATGACTGACTAACTAACTGATTGAACGATTTAGTTACTAAAAGTGTATAAAGTAAGCTACTAAAGATTTCTGTCACTATGACTACAAATATTGATCGTTCATAAATAACTGACAAATGCTGATTGAACATTATTTGTCATTTGTCTCTTGTTGCCATAAGCAATTTAATGTAAAAAAATGTCTTTGTCTATTAAAGACTTCTGTAGATGCTTTTTTTCTTCTTTTATTTATTATTTAATATTGAGTTATTTATTTTTCTGCACAAATAAAATATCAATAAACTCATTTAAAAAGGCCATATTAAGTTACAACAAATTGTTGTCTATTGCATAATTTAAGTTTATTTAATTTCAATTATTTAAACGGAGGCTGCTTGGCCTAACTAATTTATTCATGATGATGTTATTGTTAGAAGAGACATTGAATTTATTAATAATTGGTTGTTGATATTACTGGGCAGTTGGTCCATTATAAAGTGTCAATAGACCCACAGAAAAACAGTATTTGACATTGAATAGATCATCTTAACATGTTTTCAATATTAATTTGTACTTGTATTATCTATCGTATGGTGCAAATTATTTATGCAGCCATCAATGTTGTAATCAGTTTTACACAAAAATGAAAAAAAACTCATAAAAAATGTAAATTCTATTAAATAAATAAATGTGTAATAACTTTATAAGCTCCTCTTAGTCAAGGTTAACAAATTACATAAATGTTGGTGTGTTTGAGATTAAATAATATTAGTATTTTAGAGAAAATTATTATGTTGGTTTTTTCCTGTTTCATAGCTGTTTTATGGTTTTGTCTATGTTTTTTTTTATAAGGAATTAATGAACTTGACTTTTATTTTTGTTTTAGTTTAGACACTGTAGTTTTCATGGTGACAACATTATTATTTTTTAATAGTTTTTCAATTTAAGCTGTTGAAAATCAAACAAGTACCAATTACTAGTTAATAATGGTTTAAATATAGTCGTTAGATAAATTAAGACGTTTAAAGTTAAGCGAATTCTATATGATTATGGTGAACTATTATGATAGTTGTGTTAGGACATAATCACTCTTGCTTCTATAAAACGCATACATATTATTTGTATGGGAAATCAAAATTTTTTGTAAAAGCTTTCTTACACAACAGAAACAACACTTTAGCTTTTTAAGCTTTATATTTGTTTATAAAAATTTAAAGTTTTTGAAAAAGTTGCCAAAAATTTGCATTTTTGACCAATATACAGTAATAAGCAACAAAGCTTTTCTATCTAGGAGCTTTAATAGATATTAATTAATTAGTCTTTTGGAAAAGCTTATTGCTAAAAAGCTATTTGTCATAATATAGCTTTTCCAAAGCAGACATTTATCCCAATTTTTACAAAGAATATTCATCCCCACTTTGTATTTTAAAACTATAAAAGATAACTTTCTATGTAGGAGCTTTTCTAGGAAATAACTTTGTTACAAAGCTTTTATGAAAATGTTTTTTGTTGCAAAATACAGCCTGATCTGGAAAGTCTATTTTAACTCTGCAGACTTAACTAAAAAGAATTTAAAGTTCGTTATAATAAGTATAGTATATTAATGTGGCCTGCAGTCGGTCGCTTTAGTTGTAGTTTTACTTTTTAATACATTTATAAGTGTACAGTTAATTGAATGTTGGTTTTCCACAGCAATGTTTTTCTAATAAACTACTTTAATAAATTTATCTTTATTTGATTTTATTTCAATTAAATAATGATTTTCTCAACTAATTGCTGTAATTTTAGAAAAATTAGCAATAAAATAAATTATTTGTAAAATCACATATAAATAATAGTTAAAATATTTAAATTACATAAAAATTTGAACAAACTTAATAAAACTACCTTAAGAACATTTCACGCTTAATTATTTTAACCAAAAAGCGTGTCATAATTTTCTGAAATTTATTGTTAAACATTTACAAAATCTTTAATAATTTATTTTTCCATTTCATTCTCTTTTTAGCATAACTCTCCTACAGCCACCACAAATTCTAAAACGAAATGCTCAAATCTGAAAACAAACTGCCGTCATTACAGTTCGGTTCATACACAACAGCCAGCTGGTCCTGTACGTGAGATCCAAATAGATCCCTATATAATATTGGATGATGAACTTAAATATTTTTATGATGATGTTAGAGATGTAAGTACATGTACGACCATTACAATTATTATAATTTATAAATATTTTATTCATGATATTATTGCCAAGATTAAGCCATTAACATTGACTTTTGCACATTAAATGGTCAATTATTTTGTGGCCGGCCATTAACCATGATTTTTTTTTCATTTATTCCACAAAACGCATCATATTTGGTAGTGAGTGAGTGCTGCATTTGGGTTTTTCTTGTAAGGAATTGTTTAGTTGTAACAAGTTTTATTCGATTTTTGTTATAATCTCATGTGTATTGTCTTGTCATGTCGTGTTTAGTTTGGTTTTGTTAAGTGGTTTTTTAAGAGTTGTTAAAAAGTTAGTAATGTCAATGTAAAGATGTATAAAAATAGTAAACGTATTTTCGGGATTACAAAAAAAATATGCAATTAATCCATAATTTTTTAATTGAGAATTTTAGACAAATTGTATGATCTTTTTTAAAATATTTTCTCTTTGTGAATTTTCAAAAAATTCTCTATTATAAAATTTTGAAAAAAGATTTTATTTGTCATGTAAAATTTTATCGAATTTTATCGATTTTTATTGGGATTTTTTTTTTACTTTTTTGAGAATTTTCGACAAATTTCTTTCTTTTTATGATGTTAGTAACGCACAATAATATTGGTCCTATACCCACCTTAAAGTATACCAATCGGCTTAGAATCATTTTCATTTATGTCCGTCCGTATGTCTGACCTTGTAATCAAACTACAGGTCACAATTTTGAAGATAATTCAATGAAATTTGGTACATGATCTTCTATTGGCCCAGGGACGAAGCCCATTGAAAATGGATAAGATCGGTCTATTATTTCACCTAGCCCTAATACAACTGAAACCCCTAATATGGCTTGTAAATATTGTCATCAAACTACAGGTTGCAATTTTCAAAATAATTCAATGAAATTTGGTACATTTTCTTCTATTGGAGCAGAGACGAGCCCTATTGAAAATGGTTAACATCGGTCCAATATTTCACCTAGCTCCCATACAACTGAACCCCCTGAATAGGACGTTTAAGTTCATAATTATGTTTAATATACTCGTATCTCGTATAATTATAGGGCCTCATTTGACCCTAGTTCCTATCCACAATTTTATTCAATAATAAATGGCTTAAGTATATCTGAGGCAAGGTACAATTCCAGTTAAATGCTTTATTATGAAATCTAAATGACATTTTATTTTTATAACTTGCCCGACTACAATTTCTTACAAATACACTGATTATTAGATGGAAAATTTTCAACAAATTTTCTTTTCGTCTTTCGACGAATTTTCTATTCATAGAGAATTATCGACAAGTTCTCTTTTTATTATCTTTTTAAATAGAATTTTTGACGAATTCTTCTTTTAAAAGGTAATTTTCAATAAATTATCGACGAATTTTATTTTTCTAGTAAAATTTTGATAAAAATCTATTTTTATAGAAAATTTTTGAAAATTTTTTCTGTGATTTCTTACATAAATTTTAAAATAGGGAATTTTCGACGAATTTTAAGAGAATTTTCAACAGAGTTTTTATTCATAGAGTAGAAGTGAATTTTCGACGAATTTTATTTTCTAGGAAAATTTTTCGATAAATTCTCTTCGAATGTTCGACGTATTTTGTTTCTTATAAATAACTTTCGAAGAATTTTGTATTCATAGGGAATTGTGGACGAATTCTCTGAATTGTTTATTTATTGAGACTATTCGACGACTTTTGTTTTTGAGAAAATTTTCGACGAATTTTCAATTCATAGAGAATTTTCGGTGAATTCTCGTTTTAAAGGGAATTTTTGATGAACTATCGATAAATTTTATTTTTCCAGGAAAATTTTGATAAAATTCTTTTTTTATAGAGAACATATTTGAACAGATTTTTGGCTAGAGAATTTTCAACAAATTTTGTTTTTTTTTAAGAATTTTCAACGAATTTTTTAACCATAGAGATAGAATCCCTTTTTATTCTCCTTTTATAGAAAATTTAGAAAAATTTTCTTTTTATAGGCACTAATTTTGTTTTTTTAGAGTATTTTCGATGAATTTCTTAAAAAAATCTTTTTCACAAACTGTCTATTCAATCCTTATGGAAGGTACCAATATCCCCTTGTGAAAATTCGCCCATATATATCCTAAATATGCACATGGATGTTAAAGGACTTTGTGCTAAATTTAAAACCTAAACCCAATGGTTTCCCAGATAATCGAATTTTAATATTTATGTTCTAAACATTCATATTGATACTAAAGTGCCTCCGAAAAAATGAAGACTCTAGTTGTTATACTTAATCAGATACAAGATTTTCTTTATATGGAAGGTGCCACGCCCACTTTATAAGGCTGATCATTTTATTCTCATGTATTCATGTAGATGGCACGTCGCCCACTTGAAGTTTTGAGGTAAAAAGTAGCCTATAGTTCCTTCCAGACATACAAGAAGACACTGTGAAAATTTTTGAAAAATAGGTCCAGTCGTTTAGCTGTTTATAAAGTTGAAACAAACATACAAACACACATTAATTTTTATATATTGTATATGTAATATGACAAATTCTTTATAATTTTGATTAGAATGACAATTTAGAAAAACTTCGATTCATAAAATTCTCAAATTATATAGAATTCGAAATTCTTGAAATATTCTCGAAAAAAATTAATTAATTAAAAACTAATTCGTTGTGTTTAAATTTTCCAAATAACTTCAAGGAATTTTTTCTGTTTTATTTTTAGTCAATTATTGATCACATGTTTCAATTCACATTTTATCTGAAAGCAAAAAAACTGTAAATTTCCTTCACTCCCAGTTTTAATTTTAAACTTATGCTAATTCTCTGTTCTCTTATCATCTCTTTACAGTTACTTGCACAAGGTACAAGTCAAGCTGAACTTGATAAAATCGCCACATACTACTTCGATGGCCAGGGTAAGGCCTTAAGGCCCATGGTCACTATGCTCATGTCCAAAGCTATTAATTATCACTTAAATAAAGAATCAAGGTAAGTTAACATATCTTTTATAGAGTAATTTATTAGCAATTTTCATTTAATTGCCTTCGATTAGTTTTAATTTAAATAAATTGCCTAAAATCTACTTTTTTGGGGAGAATAATCATTGTTAACCTTTAAAACTAATTTATTTAAGTTTTACATAAAAAAGGGAAAAACTAACAACAAATTGCATTCATTTATTTATTTATTAAGTCAATCACTTTGTACAATCAGTAAAATACAATGTTTTTCCATTGTTATTGTTGCGGTGCGTTTTTTTATATTGTTAATGATTTTTTATAAATAAATATTTAAATTAAATTTAATGTAATTTTTTCCACTTTTGTAAAAAAATGCAATTTTATTGTGTTGTATTGATATTAGTTATTGACCCTATAAAAAATTGGCCAAAAGGCTATAACAAATAAATATTTTGTAATTGTGTTCGAGCATAATCACACACACTTATACACGTGTATGAACACACATTTATTGCATGTACAAATACAGTGTGCATTAAAACTTTTTACACAACTTTGGAAAAACCAATTTAATGTGTAAAACCTGTAAGCGTATAAGCAGATTTATGCAATTCCTTAAATTAAACCAACTATTTTGTTAGCCACTGTATGAGTACATTTTTGCAATATTTCTTTTTTTTTTAATTTTTGCTGGTTGATAGGCTTTTGCAAGTAATTAGTTGTCGTATTAACCTTATTTTTATGATTTAGTGCAAATATCTGAACACAAATATTTCAATACATTTCATTCAAGTACTCGTATAGCAATTGTTATAAAATTTTCGTACTAACAATTTAAAATTTATTTATTCATGACTGTCTGCATGTATGGAACATATAGATTGTTTATCAGAGTGATTGTGTGATTTTATGTCATCATTTTTATATATTTTATCTTTTTTTTTTCCAAACATTTTATTTTATTTGTATGTATTTCTTTTTTCCGTAGACAATTGCTGCATAAACAACGACAAATCGCTTTGTTTTCTGAAATGGTGCATTCGGCCAGTTTGGTACATGATGATGTTATTGATCAGTCTGATTTTCGTCGTGGCAAACCAAGTGTGAATGTATTATGGAATCATAAAAAGGTATGTTTGACAACTGTTTTGTTTTGTTTGCATATTGCAAATTACAGTTAAATTGACCTAAATTTAAGCTATAAACTATATATACATATATATTAAAGGAATTGTGATATACAGTTTATGTTTAATGCAAAATGTTATTTTAATTAAATTGCATTGAATTCTAAATGACCATTGTCACATGACTAAAAACTTCCACTTTAACAAATTCAGTGATTGTTCGATTTTATGATTTATTTTATTACGTTTTTGGAAATGTTTAATTCAAAGGTTAATTTTTATTTATAGGTTTATAGAACAAATTTTGTATGAAAATTTAATTTATAAACCTTTGATAAAAGTTTATGAATAAGACCCTTATCCTTTATTATTTGAGAACTATATTTCTTAAATTAATTCACACCTTCACTACAATGATTTGACTTTGATTTCTTAAATTAATTTTGTTTTCGGCATTATATTAAGTATTTATTAAGATGTTTCCTGATATATTTTGTATATTCGACAAATTTTCTTTTTTGTAGTGAATTTTCTATAAATTTTTATAGAAAATAAGTTCTTTTTTTGAAGACACTATCGACAAATTGTCTTTTTATCGATTTTTTTCCGGAGAATTCTCATTTTAAGAGTTAAATTCTCTTTTCAGCAACTGTTCCATAAATTCTCTCATTTATGAAGAATTTTCAAAATAAATTCTTGGACTATTCGCGAAAAACTTATTACTAGTCCGATTTAGATAAAACTTTACATGCCAAAAGAAAAATTTGTATGTTTTTATTTTAATCTCCAAATTACGGAACTGCATATATGAAAAAATACCTATCTTTTCTGATCCGAATGAACAAATTTCGACGAATTCTCTTATTGTACAAATTTTTTGAGTTTAAGAGTTAATTTCTCTTTTTAGCAACTTATCCATAAATTCTCTCATTATGTACAAATACTGTTTCAAAAATGTTTATAATTATGAAGAATTTCCAAAAAAAAAAAAAATTCTTGAACCATTCGCGAAAAAATTATTACTAAACATAAAGTCCGATTTTGATAAAATTTTATATGCCAAGAGAAATTTTTATGTATTTATTTTGATCTCCGAAGTATATGAAAAAATTCCTATCTTTTCTGATCCGTATAAACAAATTTCGACGAATTTTGTTATTGTACAGATTTTTTGAGTTTAAGAGTTAAATTCTCTTTTAAGAAACTGTTCCATAAATTCTTTCGTTCTGTACGAACTATGTTCTAAAAATTTATCTATTTATGAAGAATTTTCAAAATAAATTCTTGAACTATTCGCAAAAAAATTATTACTTAACATAATGTCTGATTTTATTTAAATTTTATGGAGAATTTTCGAAAAATTTGCTTTTTTGTAGTGGATTTCTATAAATTCTTCTTCTATAGATAACGAATTCTCTTTTTGTAGAGAACTTTCGACAAATAATCTTTTTAGAAACTGTTCATTCTTTTTGTACAAATAATGTTATAAAATCGAAACAAATTCCTCAACTATTCGCGAAAAAATTTATTACTAAATAATAAGTATGATTTGAATAAATTTTGTCTTACCAAGAGAAAAAGTGTTTTCGAATTTAAGTTTTGAATATCGATCTCACAACACCACCAAATTCTGGTCCTAAGGTCTACAAAGTACGACACCTCGGATCCCTATTTGTTTCAGATCCGAATGAACTAAATATAATAATTTTTTATAATTTAGATAAAACTCAATTTAGATTTATAAAATCTTTTCAATAAATCTCTTTATAGAGAATTTTGGGTGATTTTTTTATGGAGAATTTTCGACCATTTTTGCTTTTATAAGAAATTTTTGATAAATATTCGGCTTATAGAGAATTTTTGACAAATTCTTTTTTTATACAGAATTTCCAACGAATTCTCTTGTTTATATAGAATTCTCTACGATTTTTTTATTATAGAGAATCTTCGTCAAATAGTCTGTTTATAGAGAATTTTTAATGAATTTGCATTTTTAAGAAAATTTTAGATGAATATACTTTTTAAAGAAACCATCTTTTTACAGAAAATATTCGACGAATTAGTATTTTGAGGATAATTTTGATGAATGTAAAGCATTTTCGATGAATTCTATATTTTTCGGAATTTTAATATAACGAAGTGCTTTCCATTTCTTTTAAAATTCGACGAATTAGTATTTTGAGGATAATTTTGATGAATGTAAAGCATTTTCGATGAATTCTATATTTTTCGGAATTTTAATATAACGAAGTGCTTTCCATTTCTTTTAATATCTGTCATTTAATATCTATAGAGTAAACATCAACGTTGGTTGTTTCTTCGAAAATGTCCAATGTTGTGGCAAGATTTTCTTTATTTATCTAATTTGAAAAAAGAGCAGCTGATGAAGCTTAGGGTGAATGTGTTCCAAAAGAATGTCCTTTCACTTATGAACTGCTGAAATATGGTCAGACCATCACAGGGAAACTTTACCGAATGCACCTGATTCGTTCTGAAGCGATTATTGGCCGAGTTGGCTTGATTCTCTCTTGGCCTAAAAAGACGAGCAGTTCTTTTAGTACGGAATCCATATGTTACCAAAAAGATGGAAAAAGGACATAGCCAGTAAATGGCTATGTTATAGTTTTTTATATACAGATATTAACAATCCATCTGTGATATGAGTATAGTTTTTTTGCTGCTATAGTGTTGCAACATGCTCTCAAAATTTCAAAAAACTATTGCAACATTCAGTTTTCGAATTTAATTCTTAAAAACAACAAACTTCTTAAAATTGCATGCAATAATAACTGTCTTGTATAGCTGGCAGCTAAAAAAAATAAATAATAAGACCAAAAAAATAATCTTGTAATTTATCTAGTGTTACACTACAAGTGTAGTGCCAAAAAATTAAAGAAAAAAAAAAAAAACAGAAGTAAAATGTGTCTTATCTTTAGTTGTTAGTTTTGTTGTTTAACATGTTGTTAAAGAACCTTCAAGTAAAATTAACAACAATATTATAATAATTTAAACTTAAAAATTGTATGTTTTGTAAAAATCATACATACATACGTATGTGTGTAGTATGTCCGCAACTCTTTACACATGCTCAATTATAAAATTTACTAAAATAAATAACAAGTCATTTACAATGAAAATAAGCGAAAAATAAGAAATATTTGTTAAATCACATTAAATTGTAAAGAGTTTTTTGGTGTTGCTTTTACAAACAACTCAAAAGACAGAACAATGTAGTCAATAGTCTGTGAAAAATTAAGAAACAATTTAAAAAAACTACAAACTAATATGTAATAAGTTGCATACTACCGTTTAAACGAGGGTTGTGTGAGAAAGCTATATGGCAACAATTTTATCACTACAAAAAATTTGGCATACTATAACGATAGAAATGTATATAAAAATTGATTTTTTTTTTATAAATCAACTACTTATCTCACAATCCTCCTATAAGTAGTGTTTTATTAATAATAATAACAAAACACACAAAAATTGAAACTTTATAATAAATAAATCTATGACTCAATTCTTATACACTTTCAAATACTACACACTACTTTTTGGCCATTCAATTTAGCCGCTCATTCATTGATTTTTTTTAACCCAAATACTACGAACATATTTCGTTATAATTAATTAATGTTTATTAAAATGTGATGATGATCACGATGACTATGATGATGACGACAAAAATGTTGATGATTTCTAATGTTACTCATGTTGCTAAGGTGTTGCTTTAATTTCTATTGTTCAATTTTTTTCTTTGTATTTTGCAGGTTACAATGGCTGGTGATTATATTTTATCGGTGGCTTCCATAATGATTGCCCGTCTGAAAAGTGACGATGTAACAATCGTTTTAAGTCAAGTGAGTATTTAATAATATTGACAAATTCATTAATAATAACGTTTTTTTGTTTGAGTAATAAATTGTTTTCTGGTACTTATTGTTAAAATACGTTAAGTTATATTTAATTGAAATGAGGAAGATGTTTTTACGTTTGTTTTTAAATAGAGGTTTCTTTGTGCAATTTTGAAGACTTGTAAACAGCTTTATTTCTAATTATTTATTCAAACACAAAACATTATTGGAATATTCTCCAAAAATTGTAATAAGGAATATTAAAGAATTAGAATACAAGAACTTATTATAAAACCCTATAACCAGTGCACTCGATTTAACGATGTTGACACGTTACCGTCAAGAGAAAATAATTTCAGAAAATTCCATTTTCCTGGGACATTTTTTCTAAGCATTATCGTGGCAATTACAGTACAGATCGGCACATCGAAGTCGAACGTGAATACTGCCATTATGGCCTAATTTCACGGTGGTACTTTTACATGTATTCTTGCAGAGAACACATGGATTCGCCGGTCAAAGTGGAAGCACTTTGCTCAAGTACTCGGACTATCTTATCTCTGACCATTGCTGACCCGTTGCGTACTAGATGCAAAAACATTACTTCAGTTTATAACCATGTAGATGGAATGTTCTCTGTTCATTGCTTAGCAGCACCAGTGTTGCCAATTTGACGTTTTTCCCATAAAATCTGACGTTTTTGAAATGGCAATTGCGGGAAAAAATTAGTTTTAGCGGTTAGTTGGAATTTTGGCGATTTTTAATCAGCATAACCTTTAGTCTAGTCTAGTCTAGTCTATAGTCTAGTCTATAGTCTAGTCTATAGTCTAGTCTATAGTCTAGTCTATAGTCTAGTCTATAGTCTAGTCTATAGTCTAGTCTATAGTCTAGTCTATAGTCTAGTCTATAGTCTAGTCTATAGTCTAGTCTATAGTCTAGTCTATAGTCTAGTCTATAGTCTAGTCTATAGTCTAGTCTAGTTAGTCTAGTCTAGTCTATAGTCTAGTCTATAGTCTAGTCTATAGTCTAGTCTATAGTCTAGTCTATAGTCTAGTCTATAGTCTAGTCTATAGTCTAGTCTATAGTCTAGTCTATAGTCTAGTCTATAGTCTAGTCTATAGTCTAGTCTATAGTCTAGTCTATAGTCTAGTCTATAGTCTAGTCTATAGTCTAGTCTATAGTCTAGTCTATAGTCTAGTCTAGTAGTCTATAGTCAGTCTATAGTCTAGTCTATAGTCTAGTCTATAGTCTAGTCTATAGTCTAGTCTATAGTCTAGTCTATAGTCTAGTCTATAGTCTAGTCTATAGTCTAGTCTATAGTCTAGTCTATAGTCCTAGTCTATAGTCTAGTCTATAGTCTAGGTTATAGTCTAGTCTATAGTCTAGTCTATAGTCTAGTCTATAGTCTAGTCTATAGTCTAGTCTATAGTCTAGTCTATAGTCTAGTCTATAGTCTAGTCTATAGTCTAGTCTATAGTCTAGTCTATAGTCTATAGACTAGTCTATAGTCTAGTCTATAGTCTAGTCTATAGTCTATTCTATAGTATAGTCTATAGTCTAGCAATGTAGTAAATTATATCGGTTTCCTTTAAAACCACTGTACTCTCTGCTTTTTAAAAAGCTCTTTTAAAAAAGGAACACAAACTACAAGAGGCAAATCTATTCCCTTGAACTCACGAGTGCAACAGGAAGTACTTGCGTTGGTTACACTAAAGTTGTCAACCTTGAAAGCCAGACAACATTTTAAAAAAATTTTCAAGTTCTTAAACAAGAATCCAACTATGCAACACCAAACAAAGGCAACAGCAGTAGATTTGGTGTTTAAACTCATAATGGATGTTTATTTTTAAATTTTTTTATTTTTGAACATAAAAAATGTTTAAGATCATTTAATATTAAAAACAAGTACAATGAATAGTTTAAGCCATTAAAATAAATTAAATAAACTACGAAAAAAAAGAAGATATGGTCAACTACTACCATAACAAAGGGGAGTTTAAAATTATAATTTATTTAAAAAAAAGCCGCTAAAAGGTGTGTCAAATTTAATTTTTGAATACTTATGACAGAAGAGTCTGTTTTGGAGAAAAATACTTTTTAGTCATAGTCGTACTTATAAACGCACCTTTATCAAAGATGTTGTTTTTTGGTTTGAAATTTACATTAATACATGTTTTATTTCACATTTAAATATTACATAACATTTGCGTTAATATTTTTTGCTTTGGATTTTTTTCTTTTTTTGGTTTTGGATGATGCCAAATTCCAAAATATTTACACCATGTCAGACATACTATTGCCAAACCTCAGTTAATAGTTTAAATGAATTTAAAATTTGCATATGTATGTAAAAAGAGTTGCTTTACAGTGCGCGCGTGTGTGTGTAAACGTAACTAATCAATTTCCGCATGCTTGACTTGCATTGTAAAATATTTGATTTGTATTTCTTAACTTTATCATCTTTCTTGGCTTTATTGTAAAAAAATCTTCTAACTGACGGGATGACACATTGTGGGTTTTTTCTTAAACACATAATTTATATTCATTAATTCAGGGACTTTTTTCATCTTTAGCTGCTTTAATAAACATAAAAATTTTAAATGTTTTATTTTTTTCGTTGTTATTTGTCTTTATTTAACAAGTCTCGTAGTGGTGCAAACTTATTAAACAAATATTGACCAAAAAATATTTCTATTCACTCAAATATTTTTCAACAAAAAATTAGTCTTCTACTCTTGAAATATTATAATGTTGATGGGTGATGCTGCTGTTGGGAGTGACAATGTTTAATTTAATGATGAATGTTTAAAAGATTTTATTTTATTTTCAAGTGAGCCTGTTTAAATGCTTTATACTCTAGTGATGGGTGTATAACGAAAAAAGGCGGTATATAAGTTTTGTTATTAGGTTTGTAACAATTATTAGTATATACTTAAGATGTATCAGATCCGAAGAAATACATCTAGACAACTATCGGTCCTGTTATGCGCTATTTTAACTAAGGCTTTTGGGAAAGCGAACCTATGACCTCCAAACTGCTGGACTAGAACCTTACAAGCTAGACTAACTGTTCTCTTCACTGTTAATGATTTTTATCTAATTATCTATTGGCTTAAAGGATAATTTTCTAAATTAATTTAAATAATTAATTAAATTAAATAATATTTGAGCAAACATTTTAAGGGACAACAAATGTTTAAAAATTTATTTTTTCTGATTTCTTGTGTGGCCTATAGAATTCATCATCGCCGATTAATATTAAGTTTTCAAATTGCTGAAATTATTGACTGTAACTATTAGTTATGCATGCTAGAAGGAGATGAGCTCAGATATATCTAATTTTGACAGTTTATTTTCTAAATGTTTTAAAAAAGAGAATATAAAAAAAACTGTTTAGTGTCAATGCCAATTAACATTGTTTTCTTAGTATTTGTAATACATACATGCATACATATTTGAAATTTAAATAAATAAATCCGGTTTAATGTATTTGAAACTAAAGTATTGTAATGCCAAAAAATTGGCTTTTTCTCTCTGTCTCTATTTATTATTTATAGATTAAACTTTCAAATTGACGTGTGTTTAAATTATTTCTAAAAATAGTAAATAGGAAAGTAATATTTAGTCTCTTGAAGAAATTTTCTCGATTCGATTTTAAGATTACGATTAATTTGCACTTCATTTTCAAGAATTCAATTAAATTTTTTTTTTAAATTTAGTTTTTTTTAATGTTTGCTTTCAATTTTACAGCATATACAATTTTCCATCCCTGACTGCCGTTAAATACATGTTACATGTTGTTTCGGACTTTTGCTCATATCTAGGTTATTTATGGACTGATTTTGCTGATTTTAAATAGGAAACTTCTCGAAAACGTGTCTTTTAGAATTATCCGATCTCTGGATCCCCGAGATATCTGGGGTCTATAGAACAACAGATACAGAGATAGACGGAAATAGCTTAGTTGACCCCGCTATCTAAAGGATCCGAATTATTGCTCATACCTATGTTATTTATAGGCAGAAAGCTCTCCTAGACCGGTCAAAAAGTTTGAACACCAATAATTTAAGCATTACTCCATTAAGATCAATAATAATTTGTAAACAAATTGGGCGCTACTTTAGCAGTAATTTGAAAACGTTTGCGAGTTGCAAGATTCAACCAAAAACTGTACAATTAGGAACTATAGGAATTGAAATCGGGAGACAATTAAAGACGATTTTGCATGACCGAAATTGAACGTTTGAATGTTATATTTTCGCAAGACTTGCGATAAAAATGGGATCCATTATAATAAACCGAAGCGAAGAGATCATATGTTTAGCACGGCCAACCAGCCGAAGTGTCACCAAAGTCAAATATCTATGGCACTAAGATAATAATAAGTATTTGGTGGGATCAAAAGGATCCTATATATAATGAGCTGTAGAAAACTGTTCAGACCCCATCACAAGGAACATATAACGAATGCAACAGATTAGTTTGAAGAGAGCATTGTCCGAACATTTAGCCAGACATGAAAGCGTAATTTTCCTGAATGGCAACGCTCGGTCCTATGCTGCAATATCTGTTTAAAACTATTAAAAAAGAAGTAGTTGGGAAGTTTTACCGTACCCGCCTTTTAGTCAAGACCTTGCCCCGTCCTACTACTATTTGTTCAATAGATGCTGAACGCTCTTAACTTCAGGGTATCTGAAGTTGACTTGATTCGATCATGACCTCAAAAGATGAGCAGATTTTTTGCAGTGAAATCCATATGTTTCTAGAAAAAGATCATAGCTAAAAATTTAAAACAAATTTTGCTCATAGCACGTTCTTTCCCCCTTAAAATTGAGACAATTCCAAAGTAAAAAATATCCACAATTGATAAATTCTGTTCGGGTAAAAATGCAATCAGATATGCCTATCTTTTGAGGCTTTCGATTCTCTTAAAGACAAATAATGATAAAACTGACTTTAGGACTTCAGTTCTTCAAAATAAGGTTTTGTTTCAGAATTTTTCAAAATTTTAAAAATATGTAACTATAATATCAATAGACAACACTTTTTTGATCCGCCTAATGTTCATAATTCTTGTTTAATTTTATATATTAATTTAAAACCCCATGTACTTAAAAACAATTCAGAAAATAATTAAATTCTTAAACGCCATCCAAAAAATATTAGAATAAACATTTTATAACTTTAATTAATCATACGCACCAATGTACCATGGAAATTCATTAAACAAACACAATTACATAAATTTTTTAAAAATAATAAAAAATATTAAATTTTTTCTTAAAAATTTTTTGGCAACAAAATAATATTTTTATAAATTATGGATTTTTATCAAGTTCAAAACGATTAAAATTGCAATAAAACTCATTCATGTGCAAATGCGTAAAAATACATTTTATTGCTTTAAAGCCAACCCAACTCAAGGCTGTTTCTATATTTAAGTTTTTTTTACGTTATTTAGAAAGAAATCGATGTTAAATAAACACTGTTTTGAAAAAACAAAAAAATTACGCGAATTTAGAAGTTTATTTTGTTTTTGTTGTTCAACAATGAAATACCTTAAACTTGTTAATTAAACAAATTAATTACATGCCATAAATATGCAAAGAGTACAAACAAACTAAACACATTAACATACACAAATACAATTAAATCTAGACACAGACATTAGGAATATTTAACATTTCAAAGTGTTGGTAAGAAAACTATGACTTCCGTTTGAATTAAAAAAAAATTCTTTGCTTTAATTTAAATTAGTTAATTAAAATAAGTATTTGTTTAATTGAATTATTTTCTTGTTTTATTATTAAAATTTCTGTATTTTTTTTATATTTCAGATTTTAACTGATTTGGTACAAGGTGAATTTATGCAGTTGGGTTCAAGGGAAACTGAAAATGAACGTTTTGCCCACTATTTAACAAAAACATACAGGAAGACGGCTTCTCTGATAGCCAATACATTAAAAGCGGTAAGTAAAAAATTTGCAACAATCAAAATATATAACAATAGATGCAATCATGCATAAACTACAACTAATAATACAAACTGTTTACATGTTAGCACTATGTAATCTATTAAATAACTACATTGTTGTAAAGAACCTTAACCTGGTAATAGTTTAAATAAAATTTATTTTTATTTCGTTTTCTTTTGTCTACAATTATAGACAGCTGTTATTGCTGAAGCTGATGAAAATATGACCGAGCTTGCTTTCCAATATGGCCGTAATATTGGTTTAGCTTTCCAATTAGTGGATGATATGCTGGACTTTGTTTCTTCCACAGAGACGATGGGTAAACCAACAGCAGCCGATTTAAAATTGGGTCTTGCAACGGCGCCTGTTTTATTTGCCTGCGAAAAGGTAAGTGTTAGATTTTATTTAATTATTTTTTTTAAGTGCATCTTAGCTATAAGTGTTTTTATAATTTATAAATATTTATTCTGCACTTATCTTTAAAATACATTGTATTTAATTGTTATTTTTATACTATTAATTATTTTTTGCCTGCTGACCTTGTCTGCTTATTTCCTTATGGGTTTTTATTGCAACGTTTGTGTGGGATACAGACAATTTACGCATTTTTCGTTTTGCGGTAAATTTAAAAAAAGAACATACATTTTGTAAATTATAGTTGGGTTTTAACATTAAAATCCCCTAAAACCATAACTGAAACTAAACGGATTAATATAATTTATATTCATGGAAATTACAATGCACCGTGGTATCGATGATAAAATAAGTGATATAATGCTCCGCTAACTTGTATATTTATACCCTACACCATTTTAATGGGGAGAGTATTAAGCGTTTGTGCTGATGTTTGTTACACTCAAAGTTTACCAATCGATTAAGTTATTTTTTTCTGTGTAACGTAATAAATATGAAAGCATTTACATCCTAAACACCCGTTATATTAGGTCGGAAAAGGATGTATGTATATTACTTCAGATCTGATAAATACACCTAGACATTATATAGCGAAACTTAATTTCCTTGACTTAGTTCCTTTGAAATCATCATTATGTAATATTTGGAATAATATTGCTCCCAAGATATTTAGATCAAATTTTGACGATTTCCTGACAATAACAAAGAAAGTTTTTCCAGAGTTCCACCATCCTCTCGGTGTGTCCAATCAGAATACTAACCTCTGACTGCTTCGTTCTCTGACTTGTTCATATTAGGTGACCATATCCATGCAAAAATGTAGACTACTCCACATGTGAACAGTACTCCTCAAAGGACTACGTACACGTAATCTTAAAACTACTACTTTCTTAATATTATAGGATTACATGATCCGAAACATTGTCCTATGTAATGCATACTATGGACCATGTTGTTTTCCAACAAATTAACACGAACCATGTCTGTATAACATAGAACAACAAAATGAATCATGTATTCCAATAATGTTTACCTAGGAGTAGTTTTGGGATTACCTTAATGGATCATGTACTCCAATAACTTTTGCAGGGTTAAGATTCTCTCGCCCACGTTGCATTGAACGGTTTTGCATTCGTTATCTTCACATACTCGAGTCACTTATTGCCAATAATTCTGTGGTGTACGATGCAAAGCTTACTTCTGGAAGGGTACTCGGTTAAGGCTCTCTTATAGTCCAATAAGGTTTAAGATTTAACCTTATCACCTGATATCATTCTAATTGCCTTCTGTCCCTATGTTGTTGCAATATTTATTCCAAACCAGTTTGTACATTCCATTGGAACATTCCAGCCTGGAAGCTACTATTGTGGTAGTATGTTTCTTTTTCTGGGTTCCTCAATTGAATCGTGGTTCGGTGTAACAGAATGAGTTCATCAACTTTCCAAAGATTATATATATTTTGTGGAACTGAGACTAATCTATTAAATATTTATTTGAGGATATGTGTGCCTAAGGTAGGTTAGTAGTTAGTGTTCTAGTCTGTCACGTCTATCACGGTTTCGATTCCCACCAGAGACACTGATAACATCGAACAACAGGCCTGAGAAAAGATAGCATTAATTCTTCAGATTTCTTCAAATCAAACCCTATCAAACATTTCAATTATTTTAAAAATCTTTATGAAATTCATATGTCATATAAGGCGAAAGTAGTATCACTCCTTTTTTCACTGTCGAACCAAAAAAAGTGCCTCCAAATTGAGTTCATTCATCTACAAACATACACACATAACTTATAAAGTTGGCAACACTTTTAAATGTTGCCATTTATGCATTCAAAACTATTAGCATTTTTTACTAAATACAAGTAGTCGTGCATAAAATACTAAAATAAATCATTAAACATTATTTAATGATTAAGTCATACACATACCGATGATTTGCAATGCACTAAAACAAATAACAGCAAAAAATATTCGTTCGAAATTCAAAATAAATACAATTTTATTTTCACCCTCTCTCTTTCCCTTACATACAATGTATTGATATAAGTTTTCGATAAATTATCAATCAATATTGCAAAAAACAAAGTAGAAACTAAAAACAACAAAAATTGGCATTAATACAAAATAGAGTTTTGTATTTAATTAAAAATATTACGATAGACATAAATTGTATGGATTTCCCTTTAGTTGGAAATTAAAATGAAAGCCGTTTTTTATGTCTAAATTAAAATAAAAACTTAAGGAGGGATATTACAGCTAAACTCAGCAATGTGCCCGCAATTAATCTTCTTCTTAATATAGGAAGCCATATTTTTGTTATAAAAAAAACTGTGGATATATGGAGTGCATAAATTCAAAAATCCATTAAGCAATTAACAATATTTGTGTGGTGGAATTTATGTCTGGCATTCTGTCATTTCACAGTCAGTCGTAGTAGTCAGACAGTAGTGCTACTAAATGCATTTAAAACAACAATAAAAACAACAGAAATATTAAATGCGCCAATCAAACAAAAGTGAGTGAAGTGTGCACGTGTCATGCATAATTGTTGTTGAACAATAATACAAAATATTCAATATTCGATTTAATGCAACGCCACGCATCCCAATTCCATACTCAGACTAAATGTAAAATACGTAAAACCAACATACATTCATGCATACATACTTACTACAATTTTTACTTTTATTGAAATGCGTCAATTGATTGTCATCGCACTACATCCTCGTTCAGGTAGTTGTAGTTTCTTACTGTAACTGATTGTCTTGTTGTCTATCTAACTGTCCTCTGTGTATCTTTCCGTCTGCTTAAATTTGCCACAAGATTGATCGAATTAATGACCAGTAAGTAACCATTAACAATCGAAATCATTAACATCGTCAAGTTTATCTATATTTACACTTGAGTTATAAATATAAACTGTTACGTAAGATTTATTTTAAATTGCTATTTGGTTAATTTCCATTCTTTTGTTTAGAATTTTGCATTTCGGTATTTGTTTGTTTTTTTTTTTTTTGATTTGCCAGTCACTTATTTTAATTGTAATCAATGTCAAAATTATTCAGTTATGATTAGATCTTGGTAATATTATTATTGCTTTATTACTTCTTTTTGATGTCTAGCAGAAGAAAAAATTTGTTTATAAGCCGTAAAAGAGGATATACTTATTAACTTCTAAAGTTGTTTTGTTTTTGAGTGTGTTAAGCATTAAGAGTGTTCACAATCCTACACAGAAATGAAAGATTCTAAGACTTCAACAATTTCTGAAACTATATTCTTATTTTTTGGGATATATTGCGTCAGAAACAGACAGACATATATTATAAGTCTGGTTATTTCCTGATGTTTAAATATAAACTCTTTCTACAAGTATTTGGTATCATTGAAAACATAAGGAATTGAGGATTAAACCTTGATATATAAATATTAGCTTAGATGTATTGTATTTAGTTAGTTGTGGCCTTAGATTAGTGTTCTTGTCTGGTAAACCGGAGGTCGTGGGTTCAATTCCCACCTGAGGTACTGGTTAGTTAGTTAGTTACTTAGTTAGTTCAGTTCTATTTCAGTTTTAGTTCAGTTCTAGTTCAGTTCTAGTTCAGTTCTAGTTCAGTTCTAGTTCAGTTCTAGTTCAGTTCTAGTTCAGTTCTAGTTCAGTTCTAGTTCAGTTCTAGTTCAGTTCTAGTTCAGTTCTAGTTCAGTTCTAGTTCAGTTCTAGTTCAGTTCTAGTTCAGTTCTAGTTCAGTTCAGTTCTAGTTCAATTCTAGTTCAGTTCTAGTTCAGTTCTAGTTCAGTTCTAGTTCAGTTCTAGTTCAGTTCTAGTTCAGTTCTAGTTCAGTTCTAGTCTCAAAGAAATATTTTTAAAAAATTTGTTTGTCCAATTCTTCACATTATCTGAACCCTAATTCTGTACATATTAGGTATCGAAATTTAACAATATGTTTTTGTACTTGGACTTAACTGTAAGTGAATACCCCTAATGACTTGCGATCACAAATAAATTGGAATTCATTACAGTGTGCCAATGGTAAAATGATTTGTATGCAAAACTTCATGCTAAAGAGCATTTATTTATTTAGCAAAAAAACATACAATTGTTTATTATTTTAATTTTTTATAGACAATTTCATTACTATTGTTGTTACTGTAGATATTTTTAACATTTTATATAGACGATAATAATATTAAAATGTTAAATTTCTAAAAATATGTGGGATTTTTGTAAAGCGTATAGTGGGTGCGTTTTACTTAAAATAAAACTAAACTGTAATAAAAAAATTATAACAATAATAAAAAATAAAATAAATTCCTAAGCAAAATTTAATTTCTTACAACTAATTCATATCTTTTTAGTATCCCGAATTAAATCCCATGATTATGCGCCGATTTGGTGAACCCGGTGATGTAGAACGTGCCTTTGAATTAGTACACAAATCTCATGGTTTGGAACAAACTCGCTTTTTAGCCAAGAAACATTGTATTGAAGCGATACGATTGGCCCAGGAAATGACAGAGTCACCCTATCAGAAGGGTCTGCAGGTGGTAGCTGATTTAGTCATTAATCGCATGAAATAATATTTTTTTCAAAGCGTTTAAATTTATTAAATAATAATAATAATTATTTCTTTTTAATTATAATATAAAATTTGAACAATTATTTTTGGCCAAAACAAAAATATTTACAAAATTACAAATTTATTAATAATAATTTATAAAACCCTTTTTTTATATACAAAACCACACACACATAAACATGCATACACAAATGATTGTAAAGCATAAACAGCAAAAAAGCTTAAACAGCAAAAATTTAAAATAAAATAAAAAAAGTTTAACAAAAAATCATAATGAAAAAGAATCTAGTTAATAAGTCTTGTTGACATTGTAAATAATTTCAAAATAAAAAAAGAAAAACATATAAAATGATGTAAAAAATTTAAAGAAAACAAAACTTTAATAGAAAATGAAAAAATAACAAATTATATACAATTTAAAATTGTACATACAGTGAAACACAAAACAAATTTTATATGTACATAATATACAAAATTAAAATTTATAATAATATTATACACAAAATGAACAAACATTTACAATAAAACTTTAAACTTTTTGTAAAAATCTACAAAAATTAAATAAAAATAGTCAATTTTTAAACAGTTTTAAAGTCCTGTGTCAAGATCCACACATCTCACAAATAACAATTTAACACTCTCTCCCCGATTCACCACCCCTTAAACTTAAATAAAACAAAAAAAAAAACAAACTTGTTCATTTTTCTTTTTGTGTTCTTTTTTTTTGATAAGAAAATATTAAAATTATTAAAAAAATATTATTGATTGTTGTTAATAAAGTAAATTATATCTAAAATAAATAATATTAAAAATTAAAGAAAAAATAAAAGATTTAAAAAACATTTTGTTAAAGTTGTATGGATGTACGTACGTAATTTTATAGTCAATATTTCTAATTATTTTTCTTAAACTCTTTAAACAATATTTGTACAATTGTTTACAATTTATATTGTTTCTTATTTTTCTTTTGGAGATATTTTAAATAAATTATTCTTTTTATTATTTTTTTTATTTGAAAATCTATTTTTCTTTTAAATTAAGCAAATTAAGACAAATCTATTGAAATTCTTATTATTTTCTATAAAAATTTTTTGTAAATCAAGAAAAACTGAAAATGTTGTATAATTTAATAATTGATTTGATATTTTAAATAAAGCAAAAACAAAATTATATAAAAAAGTACAAAAAATAATTGCAAGATTTTTATTTGTTAAAGGGGGCGATAAAGGAATACTTACATTTTGAAGACAAGGTTTTCAGATTTCCTGACGAATAAATATAAAGTACTTAGCATCAATGAAGACATGAGATCTTGCGAATTAAGTATTGACAAGTAAATAATATATCAGATGTATTGTGAAAACATCATTCAGAAAAAGGCTCAAAAATTGTGATGCAGTGTTCTTTGAAAAAAACAACTATAAAATATGAACGGATAAGGATAATGCAACAAAACTGTGTTTCCAAAACTGATATTTTTGATAAAAGTGCCCTCTGTGACGTTATTTATTGTACCATATTATACGTTTGTTATATTTAAGTAGCATATCGGTCTATAAAACTGTGGAATTCTTTTGACGATCAGTCCACAAATGTTACCTAAAGGTAATTTTTGTTTGGCATTGCAATATCGGTCCACGTTTTCGCATAGGTGGTGGCTCCGGAAATATAGTTGAAATAGTCTTAAAAATTTTAATTAGACAGCAAATTTGGCACAAAACTTATTCTGAAGAGTATGGAGGACATTGGTGATTGTTCTCAGGAAATAACTTAAAAATACAACTATAGCAGGTCGACAAAGTTTGAAAAAAGTTGAAACTCTGAGACCAAGTTTTACTTTTCTAAATGATTCTGAATACGAATCTGGCCTCAGATTTTCTGCATCACATCTGAGATTTGAGATATCGTGTCTTGAAATTTTAAAAAACACAATTTTGGCCCTTTTTGAGACATTATAACAGCGCCAAGACAACTTTATGTATAAAATATTGTATGAAATCTGAAAGTCCATTCTTCATTATCCTTCGAGGTATCTTCACCTATCGGTCCGTTAACTTCAACGGATGATATCTCATCAACTACAGCTACAGTTTTAAACAATTTAAAAAGTATTTTCAAGTTTTTTTTATAAAATAAAAACGAAGTGTAAGAGAGTATTTGTCAATTTATTGTTTTGATGAAGATATCTCGAAGAAGAAAAATGATATCAAACTTCAGGACACGAATATCTCGAATCCCAGGTGTAATGGAGAATTTCTGAGCCCAGATCCGGATTTAGAACAGCTTCATCCCTAAAAAAAACTACACTATGGTCTCTGGGTTAACAAGTTTTATAAAATCTTCCAACTTAATTTGATAAGGATCGATCCATAATTGACCCTACTTCCCAAATAATGTTCCTTTCTGAAAATTACTTAAAACTCATAACTGGCTGTAAGAAAAAGGAAAGGTATGAAATTCGCTATAAACATGTTATATATTTAAGGACTTAATCTCCCTATTTAATTTTATAAGGATCGGACCATAATTGAGTCTAACCATAATAGAAGGAAGTTTTATAGAGCCGTGGTTATCAAATGTGGTGGGGATCACTTTGTCCTCCATTCCACCTACAGAACAACTGCAAATCAACTCGAAAACCGTTTCGGTTATGTGAATTACGATATCTCCAATAGTTCACGAGATACGGAATTATTTCTAAAATAAAATCTTTATAAAACACATTGTGTCTCAAGTAAGCACAGATTATCTTAACAAAATGGAATTTGGTGTCTAAAGCCATTCGGAGCTTACAATGTCTGTTGACGACAAAATATATATAATATACGTTCAGCCAATAAAAAGAGAAACCATCGAAATGAACTATAGTGGAACTATTGCAACAAAGTGGTCTCTATCCTCAAAATGGCCTTAGTCTCCAAATAAACGATCATTCAGTGTTATTAAAAAGTTGTTCCATTGATAAGCAATTGATTAAACTTAATTTAAGTTAATCGGGTCACAATTGTTTTTAACAAAATTTAATTACTAATCGAAACATTAAAGTAACATAATAGTTTCAACATAAATATTTATTAAACTTTTATAAATATACATATAAACAATATTTTTCGCTTTATAAACATGCGTTGTTTTGTTTGTTTTTGTTTTATTAAAATAAACCAAAGTCACCCAATATCTGCGAGTTGAAAAAAGTTATGCATAAATATTTGTTTGTTTGTATTTAAAAGTGGGCCAAATAAATATTCAAACATTCAAAAGAAAAGTTGTGCAAGGACTCGCCCACCATTTTTATGCTACAACAACATTTTATAAATTGTCGTAGTCATGTTTTGTATGTACACATGGTTGTTTTTTATGTTTTTGATTGGCAGAACTAAAACTGAAGCAAATTTATTTTGACTTTAACTGTGTTTGTCATGTTTATAAAACATCAAAATCAAATTAATGTTTAGTTTGTTTTTGTAGTAGTTTAGTTTTGTACCTCGTATCATGTTCAAATCAAACTTCTTTATTCGATTAAAAAGATTTAAAAAGAATTGATAAATGTTTGTATGTATGTATGTATATAATTTATGCTACAAATTGTTTGATAAATTTTCAATGAAAATGTTCAAATAAAAATATAATTTTTTAGAATAAACTAAAAAGATAAAGTAAAAGAAGCCACCTTAGTGCCTCTAAGTAATCAAAATTGTAGACACTTTAAATGCTTTATTAGTATTGCATTGTGTAAATAAGTTCTGACCCACTGTGCAATGTATCAAAGTAACTTTTTAAATTCAACCCATTACCTGTTTCCTATAATAACTATGTCAAATATTTGCTTAAAATTTATGCTGCCAATCAAAGTTTCAACTTGATATTGATGTTTTTTGTTGTTGTTCGTTTCGCATTTAGTATGTTTTATTTAGTTTTCCTAATAGGGTCAGTATTATGGATAAAAAGTTCTGTGCATAAATAAATGGGCAAAAAAACATAAAACTTTCCCCAGTTTTGTTTTTAGTGTTCCCAAATAAAGTGCAGATTTCGGGCTAAAAAAATACTCTTCCATACCTACACCTGATATATGAATACAGTTTGTTTAATTTTGTTTTATACGAAAATTGTGTTTATGAATAATAATTTTATCTACAAGGACATTGCATGCATGCATGTCTTACTAAGGAATTTGTTGTCGAAAAAAGTCTAAAAAAACGAAAATGTTATAATCTGTTGTCTATTGTTTTATAATTTTGCCACTGCCAATAGTTTGTCTGTAGATGAAAATTTTTTATAAAAAAAACATAAAAACTACACGTACTATATATAAAAGGATTCATAACAAGGAACTTATTTACTGGTATTTTGTTTCCTTATTCTCTCCTTACCTTTAGTCACTTCCTTCGCCAAAACATAAAGCGCGCGCATTATAAAAATTTTGTTATTTACCAGTTACCAACTGGTACCTACAAGGTGCCTTTAAACGATTTTATGTCTGCTTTGGGAAAATACAATAAAAAAAAACAACAACAAACAAAAATCCTTTAGTATTATTTTGCTGGAATTTAGTTTTTTGTTGGTAGGAGCTAGAACACGAGACTTTAGTTTGAAACTATTACTTGAACGCACCACTTCCATTTCCGGTTAAATTATCCTTGACAAAGACTATTGCGAATTTAACACAATAGACAAAAGTTATAAGAAAAAAAATTCATTGCTACAATATTATTATTATTGTTGTAATAGTTGTTGTTAGCCACAGAAAATTTTACTGAACATAAAGTTCATTTAAATGTTGTTACGCTTCTTCGATTTTGATTATTGCTGCCCAAAGACCATAGAAAGGGAATCACTAAAAGTAGCAAAAGTCGATAAAGAAAAACGTGTGATGTGAGTGAGAGATTTTTGTCGCAGACACAATGACGACAAGCGATGAAGCGGCTGCCTTTTGCCACGACCACATCCAACATCCTTTGATGTGGTGTGATGAGAAAAGACGTCTAGTGGAACGTAGAAATGCCGAAGAAAGTTTGAGGATGTGGAGGCGTAGAAAGGCCGAAGAAATGGCACGTAAAGAAAAAGAAAAACAGGAAGTAAGTATGAAATCTTGAAAACGATATAAATTGTTTTTAAATTTTTAAATAAATAGTGAAAGAGTCGAAGACTTAAATGTTTCGGATTAATTTTTGTAGTCATCATAAAATAATAAATTAAAAAAAAGAAAAAAAAAATAGTGGGTGGTCCACCAAATATTTAAAAAAATTGTCAAAAATGTATTTATAATTCAAATGAAATAGAATTTTAAGTTTAAATAGGCCTAAGAAAAGTTTATGAATCTAACACGATATTTAATTTAAAAATGTAATTTGACATTTGAAGGAGAAGATGCCTAGGCCTCCTTTCATCAATGTTAGTTAGTTAGTTAGTTAGTTAGTTAGTTAGCTAGTTAGTTAGTTAGTTAGTTAGTTAGTTAGTTAGTTAGATAGTTAGTTAGTAGTTAGTTAGTTAGTAGTTAGTTAGTTAGTTAGTTAGTTAGTTAGTTAGTTAGTTAGTTAGTTAGTTAGTTAGTTAGTTAGTTAGTAGTTAGTTAGTTAGTTAGTTAGTTAGTTAGTTAGTTAGTTAGTAGTTAGTTAGTTAGTTAGTTAGTTAGTAGTTAGTTAGTTAGTTAGTTAGTTAGTTAGTTAGTTAGTAGTTAGTTAGTTAGTTAGTTAGTTAGTTAGTTAGTTAGTTAGTAGTTAGTTAGTTAGTAGTTAGTTAGTTAGTTAGTTAGTTAGTTAGTTAGTTAGTTAGTTAGTTAGTTAGTTAGTTAGTTAGTTAGTTAGTTAGTTAGTTAGTTAGTTAGTTAGTTAGTTAGTTAGTTAGTAGTTAGTTAGTTAGTTAGTTAGTAGTTAGTTAGTTAGTTAGTTAGTTAGTTAGTTAGTTAGTTAGTTAGTTAGTTAGTTAGTTAGTTAGTTAGTTAGTTAGTTAGTTAGTTAGTTAGTTAGTTAGTTAGTTAGTTAGTTAGTTAGTTAGTTAGTTAGTTAGTTAGTTAGTTAGTTAGTTAGTTAGTTAGTTAGTTAGTTAGTTAGTTAGTTAGTAGTTAGTTAGTTAGTTAGTTAGTTAGTTAGTTAGTTAGTTAGTTAGTTAGTTAGTTAGTTAGTTAGTTAGTAGTTAGTTAGTTAGTTAGTAGTTAGTTAGTTAGTTAGTTAGTTAGTTAGTTAGTTAGTTAGTTAGTTAGTTAGTTAGTTAGTTAGTTAGTTAGTTAGTTAGTTAGTAGTTAGTTAGTTAGTTAGTTAGTTAGTTAGTTAGTTAGTTAGTTAGTTAGTTAGTTAGTTAGTTAGTTAGTTAGTTAGTTAGTTAGTTAGTTAGTTAGTTAGTTAGTTAGTTAGTTAGTTAGTTAGTTAGTTAGTTAGTTAGTTAGTTAGTTAGTTAGTAGTTAGTTAGTTAGTTAGTTAGTTAGTTAGTTAGTAGTTAGTCCCGTGGGCTACCGGTTCCCTTGTTACTAGATTATGTGGTTCTCTGTATCGATACCATGCCAAATCATTCCAGTTTATAGTCCCGGTAGACTAGACGAAACTTGTCGCCACCTCTTTTCCCCGGGATTGCAATAACACCAAGATTAGGCTAAATTTTAGTTAGTTAGTTAGTAGTTATTAGTTAGTTAGTTAGTTAGTTAGTTAGTTAGTTAGTTAGTTAGTTAGTTAGTTAGTTAGTTAGTTAGTTAGTTAGTTAGTTAGTTAGTTAGTTAGTTAGTTAGTTAGTTAGTTAGTTAGTTAGTTAGTTAGTTATTAGTTAGTTAGTTAGTTAGTTAGTTAGTTAGTTAGTTAGTTAGTTAGTAGTTAGTTAGTTAGTTAGTTAGTTAGTTAGTAGTTAGTTAGTTAGTTAGTTAGTAGTAGTTAGTTAGTTAGTTAGTTAGTTAGTTAGTTAGTTAGTAGTGTAGTTAGTTAGTTAGTTAGTTAGTTAGTTAGTTAGTTAGTTAGTTAGTTAGTTAGTTAGTTAGTTAGTTAGTTAGTTAGTTAGTTAGTTAGTTAGTTAGTTAGTTAGTTAGTTAGTTAGTTAGTTAGTTAGTTAGTTAGTAGTTAGTTAGTTAGTTAGTTAGTTAGTAGTTAGTTAGTTAGTTAGTTAGTTAGTTAGTTAGTTAGTAGTTAGTTAGTTAGTTAGTTAGTTAGTTAGTTTAGTTAGTTAGTTAGTTAGTTAGTTAGTTAGTTAGTTAGTTAGTTAGTTAGTTAGTTAGTTAGTTAGTTAGTTAGTTAGTTAGTTAGTAGTTAGTTAGTTAGTTAGTTAGTTAGTTAGTTAGTTAGTTAGTTAGTTAGTTAGTTAGTTAGTTAGTTAGTTAGTTAGTTAGTTAGTTAGTTAGTTAGTTAGTTAGTTAGTTAGTTAGTTAGTTAGTTAGTTAGTTAGTTAGTTAGTTAGTTAGTTAGTAGTTAGTTAGTTAGTTAGTTAGTTAGTTAGTTAGTTAGTTAGTTAGTTAGTTAGTTAGTTAGTTAGTTAGTTAGTTAGTTAGTTAGTTAGTTAGTTAGTTAGTTAGTTAGTTAGTTAGTTAGTTAGTTAGTTAGTTAGTTAGTTAGTTAGTTAGTTAGTTAGTTAGTTAGTTAGTTAGTTAGTTAGTTAGTTAGTTAGTTAGTTAGTTAGTTAGTTAGTTAGTTAGTTAGTTAGTTAGTTAGTTAGTTAGTTAGTTAGTTAGTTAGTTAGTTAGTTAGTTAGTTAGTTAGTTAGTTAGTTAGTTAGTTAGTTAGTTAGTTAGTTAGTTAGTTAGTTAGTTAGTTAGTTAGTTAGTTAGTTAGTTAGTAGTTAGTTAGTTAGTTAGTTAGTTAGTTAGTAGTTAGTTAGTAGTTAGTTAGTTAGTTAGTAGTTAGTTAGTTAGTTAGTTAGTTAGTTAGTTAGTTAGTTAGTTAGTTAGTTAGTTAGTTAGTTAGTTAGTTAGTAGTTAGTTAGTTAGTTAGTTAGTTAGTTAGTTAGTTAGTTAGTTAGTTAGTTAGTAGTTAGTTAGTTAGTTAGTTAGTTAGTTAGTTAGTTAGTTAGTTAGTTAGTTAGTTAGTTAGTTAGTTAGTAGTTAGTTAGTTAGTTAGTTAGTTAGTTAGTTAGTTAGTTAGTTAGTTAGTTAGTTAGTTAGTTAGTTAGTTAGTTAGTTAGTTAGTAGTTAGTTAGTTAGTTAGTTAGTTAGTTAGTTAGTTAGTTAGTTAGTTAGTTAGTTAGTTAGTTAGTTAGTTAGTTAGTTAGTTAGTTAGTTAGTAGTTAGTTAGTTAGTTAGTTAGTTAGTTAGTTAGTAGTTAGTTAGTTAGTAGTTAGTTAGTTAGTTAGTTAGTTAGTTAGTTAGTTAGTTAGTTAGTTAGTTAGTTAGTTAGTTAGTTAGTTAGTTAGTTAGTTAGTTAGTTAGTTAGTTAGTTAGTTAGTTAGTTAGTTAGTTAGTTAGTTAGTTAGTTAGTTAGTTAGTTAGTTAGTTAGTTAGTTAGTTAGTTAGTAGTTAGTTAGTTAGTTAGTTAGTTAGTTAGTTAGTTAGTTAGTTAGTTCGTTAGTTAGTTAGTTAGTTAGTTAGTTAGTTAGTTAGTTAGTTAGTAGTTAGTTAGTTAGTTAGTTAGTTAGTTAGTTAGTTAGTTAGTTAGTTAGTTAGTTAGTTAGTTAGTTAGTTAGTTAGTTAGTTAGTAGTTAGTTAGTTAGTTAGTAGTTAGTTAGTTAGTTAGTTAGTTAGTTAGTTAGTTAGTTAGTTAGTTAGTTAGTTAGTAGTTAGTTAGTTAGTTTGTTTGTTTGTTTGTTAGTTAGTTGGTCATTTATGCCTACATAAAATTTAGTTTTGGAAAGATAGTAGTATATTTGACGTAGTTATGAGTTAAAAACCCCAAATCCGAAGGTCAGGTTGTATGGGGTCTAGGTGAAATAATTGACCGATTTCTACCATTTTCAATAAACTTCGTCCTTGTGTCAAAAAACACTTATGGTCCAAATTTTATCAAAATATCTTGGCCTGTAGCTTGCGCACAAGGTTTACATGGACAGCCAGCCGGACAGACGGATGGACGAACATGTCTTATTCGACTCAGATATTGATTCTGAGTCAATCTGTATACTTTAAGGTGGGTGCGTGACCATTATTTTTGTGCGTTACAAACATCATCACAAACAGTTTAAAAGCATTGTCAGTCATTGTGTCACTTTTATTTTCTTTCTGTAAATCAAAATAAATTGTAAGGCAAAATGATGTGTTTGCATACTTCCCCTTGCTTTGTAAAAGTTTAATGACCTTTTTAGCAAATGTGAATGAATTTGTCGCAAAAAAAAAATAATTTAAAATATATGTTTTTATAAAAGACTATATCGATAATTTATCAAAGTAGATAGAAATGACATTATTTTCTTAACTAAATTTAAATAAATAAATGACATAGAGACACAATGTATACAAATAAATAGATGTATACAGTACAGGGTATGTACAAAGGTAATGTTATTAAATTTTATTTAATCTATGAACAATTTATAAACTTTTTTTAACTCACTTTCACTTTCGGCATTTCATTTCGACTTACAAAATTATCTCTTTTTAGTGCATAAGGGAAGAAAGTTTTCTTTAAAAAGCTGGGATGTTGAATAAAATTTGCACTATAATTATGAAAAAAACACCTCATTTCAGAACTCCCATTTCCCTTTAAGTAGCAAAAAATTACCATGTTATCAAGCTTTTTTATATTTTTGGCAAATTGCGTGACTACGATTATTATGAATTCTACTTTGGCAAAGTCAGACAAAATTTTGTATTTGCAACAATGTTAGTATGTTTATTGTTGGTATGTACATGTGTGCATTTGATTATGTATTTGCAACTATAACAACAACCTATAAATTCAAATCAATATCTGGCTAAATTTAGAAAACTTTTGCAACAAATGCGAACAGACACAGAGGTGGAACAATTCGACACAAACTCCGAAAGAAAGAAAAGCAGACGTAGACGAATTCTGATGTCTGAAAATCAATGTTTATATTAATAATTGGTGTCTGCACGTGTTTGCCAAACAGTAGCCAAGTAGCAACAATAAACTACTGTTGCAACAAAAACTTTGTTATAAATTATGAAAATATTAATGAAAAATTATTGTAGACTTGAATAAATAAATTTGAATTTTCTCACTTAATATTTAAATGTTATTTTTGCACTTCTTCTCTTTTGCCTTCTAGTATTATGAATTATTTGTTAAACACTGCCCTTGGGGTAGACCAGGAGGTGGTGCCCCCAACATAGATGTGAGACGAAAGGATATAACAGCAGTGGGTCTACATTCCACCGCACCAATTGTTAGTATAAACTGCAATAATGTTGTTAATTAAAAATTTTAATTTGTTATTTATTGTTGGTTTGTGTACATTTGATTTTTGTTTGTGTTTTGCTTTAGACCACTACTCATCGTTTGACTTCATTGCAACCATGTCGTTTTAGTGATTATTTTGCTAAACACAAACGTTGCTTAGATCCAGTAGCCGCATATCATCCTCATTATCATCATCATCACCACCAGCAGCAACACCATTCGGTGCCTCGTGTCACCGCTCACACACATCATGCAGTGCAACATATAAGTGGTGATAATGCACGTCCCATACAAGCCAGTAGCACTTTAACACTGTGTGAACGTGATGTGGGTACAGCAGCTACTAGTAGTGGTGGCAATGGTGGTGGAGCTACTAATATAGGGGCTGGAGGAGGTATTGGTATTAAGAGCGATGGCAATAAACATGCTGAAAGTTTGCAAATTACCTTAAAAGATCATCCATCCATGTCATTTCGCAACAAGGGGCATGTTGACATAGAAGTGCGTTATAAACCCAATGCTGCCACAAAGGGTAAACCGATGTTGGAAAAAATTGTGGTTACCGAAAGTGACAAGTGTCCTTTGTTGTTGGAGCACAAGAATGCCAAGTCGGTGGAGGCAAAAGTGATGTCAACAAGACCAAAGAAAACATTAGAAAAAATTGAAAAGCCGGTGAGATGTCTATTATAAGGATGAAGAATTAAAACTTTATTGGTTTTTGTTTGTTTTTTTCCTAAAATATTTAGCCGAGCAAGGATCCTTGGGGTAAGGCAGGTCCTGGTGGTAAGCCCTGGCGTAGTCCTAAGGCAGTGGGAAGTTCGTTTATGAAATCCTTGGTAAGCTGAGAAAAATACTAAAATTTTCCAATAAACTATTAATAAACTATTCTACTATTTATAATATTCTAATTATTTCTAATATTGTCTGTTTTTTGTTAGGGTTGGACCAACAAACAAATGCTTAAAGATTTAGATCAAGATAATCCTGCCACACCAGCGGAGAAACCAACATTTCGCAAATCACGTGCTTCCCGTAAACCCACAAGATGTTGTGACGTGTGCACCTGTACATGTCCGGCCATGATCTTAAATACCAGCCCACTTAAACCGATACAAAAACAAACAAATCCCAATGCAATGAAAGAACAGAAACCAAAAATATGTCCACGTTTGTTGCGGCACAACAAAACGATTGATACGACCACAGACAATAGTGCCAATATGAGAGGTGGCGGTGGTGGTATTAAAACTGCGACAATGGCTGATAATAATGGCGTTGAATTGGTGCCGTTGTTGGCACGTAGACGTGCCTTTGAACGTCCCATTAGTTTATCGACAACGGATGTAACCAAACGTACAGCATCAAATGATAGGTACGCTACCAAATTGAACATGAACATGCATAGTAACAACAACAATATCAACAGCAACAATAAATACAATAAAAACTTTAATAACAACAACAACAGCAATAACAACATTAATAACAACAATACAAATGGCACTACATGTTGCTTGAAAAAATTCACATTGCATATTCGTTAGATACAAATGTATCTATACCCAACATTTCAATTCCCTCAAATATTATACACCAACTACATACACACAAACCTACTCATACGCAAACAAACATTAAACTAGAATTGGAATTTGTAGAAAAAAAAAACAAAGTTATGCCAATATTTTTGGCTACAAAATTAGCACATCATAACATCATGCCCTGCCATAGATTGGTATGAAATCGCATAGAATTTTTGTTGTATAATTAGTTCATCTATAGAATTGGCTGCCGCATTAAAAAGTTTAATAAGTTCTTTAGACAAATTCATTGCTAAATATTTAAAACATCTGCGAGTTTTTAACGCATTTGCAAAGTTTGGCAAATAATTTCAAAAATTTGTATGTTGATATGCTGCATATTATGTCGCACAGTGGATAGGAAATTAATTAATTTTTAAAATTTTATAGATTTTTTTTTCTTGTAAATTCAGACTAAAGATTTCTAAATGTATGAATGTTAATGTACATAACATCTGTGTCTTTGAGTTTGGTTTCCTAAAATTTTCTTGAAAATAATTGGGAATTCAAATAAAATGCTTTACCAGATATGCATACATATATTAAAGGTCAAAGGTCAGTTTGGTATTTTTTCATAAATAACATATTTATTGTACTAATTTAAGGAATCGTAAATTCTATGTTACAATGGGGCGGAAATAATTCTTTTTTCCCAGGTCAAAGGTAAAATGTTCGTTATAACAATTTTTTAACAATCCGCTATTTACAAGTCGATTTCTAAGAAATTAAAAGTATTTCATGAATTGTATTTTTTCTTACTTAACCCTTGTTTTAACATCTATCTAATTTGAATATGTAAAAATTTGACCTTTGACCATAGAAATTGAATAAATGAACTTAAGGGAAATTCGTCAAATATTTCTTATTAAGATTTAAAAAACGTAAAGATATCAAAAAACCACCTACTACAGATTCTCATTCAATGGAAACTCTTTATAGATAATTCAAAAAGTTCTATTTAAAGATCAAAAAGTACCTCTTTGCAGGGTTATATTCAATCATGACTGTAAAGGTTTTATTTCATGTATCATTGTTCAATATGTATTATAGAAAATTGAAACAGTTACATTTGATGAGTAAAGAAAGTACCAAAAAGACGACTGGTATAGATTTTCATTCATTATTTAACGCATTTTAAAAGTACCCAGTGGGTTTTATAATACCCACTGTGCAACATTTCTATAAACCAACAAGATAATTCTGTAAATATTTGAAAGTTACATATAAAAAAATTCAACCAATTAGATATTTTTTTAATTTAAAAAACGCTAACCATGATAATTACCCAAAAATATCGAACAAAATTCCAATCATTTCATGTACAAATCATGTATATTTCTCATTATCTTAATCACCACAATAATTAATGTTCTGCATGCACTTGTTTTTTATCTGTTCATTCAAAAATGTACAAAAATCAATTTAAAAAAATTTATTTATGTATTTGTATTTGTAACTTCTTTTTCCTCTACTTTTTTTCGTAAATCTTTTAAAAACTTTACATTGTATGTGTGTGCGTTTAAATCTATATGTTATGTGTGTGCGTGTTATATGTTTTTCCTTCTAACTAATAAAACCAGCAGAACAGTAACAATTGTTATTAAATTACAATTGCCAAAGAAGTAGTTGTAATTACAACAAGTTTCAACAACAAACTACTTGAAACAACAACAAACTACTGCCCCCACAAGTGCATATTTTAGAATTTCTTGCATTAAGTTTAATTTTACTAATCTATAACTTGAAACCAGAAAACAAACTAACCAACATTTATATTTTAAAAACAACTCGTACTAACAACACCCTTAAACCCTACAACAACACCCTTAAAACTACTACAACAACAACTACTACTTACAACCATTATTGTATTGAATTGCATCTGTATAAATAGACTCCACACAGCGGCAGCAGCAGCTGATGTTGCAACCACTGATATGCGTTACTTGCATGACCTCAATTGTCAAGTTGCACAAAAAAGACGTTCGATTAGCGTGGCTCAACAGCTCGACAGGGATGAGTGTAATCAACATTTCATGGTCTTTGATACATTTTGGGGTCGTCCCGGCCATGGGGCGCCACCAGTGCTAACAAATAGAAAATTAAAATTGGACAATTTGCTTTATGGCACTCCCGGTTGTAACTCCGAATAAAGCAAAATTTAGTGCAATGCTAGAGAAGAAAAAAAAAGAACAAAGAGTGAAGTAATGAAAAATCCACGTCGTCATGAAATCTACATTTAATTTCTTTATTTTGTTCCCAATTGCATCTTTTAGTTGCAATAAACTTCGTTTATTATGTTTCACCCTCCGTTTTATTGAAAGTGTTGCAGTAAGGAACAGAGGAACATGAAGACAAGAAACCATAAAAAGAAAACAAAAAAACTATTTTAATTGAGTTTATTTGTTGTTATCATTTACCAGACTAAAGAAAATATATATCTAAACTAAACTTTCACCAACTTTCCAGGTAGTAAGATGGTAAAAAGTTAGTTCTTAGCCACGTTAAGGATTTGAACAGAAATACTTGGCAAAACTATTTCTCTGTGTTTGTATTGTTTATACAACAACAACAACTGTTTAATGCAAAACTTGTTCATTTACTTTTAATAAATTCAATCCTTGTTTGTTCGTTCGTTTGTTACGAAAGTATAAAATTAGTCGAAATTAATTAAAAATCCTGTATGTATATAATTTTAAAGAAAATTTATTTAAAAATAAAGATTTTTTTATATAACAAAAATGTTGACTTCTTAATTATAAGGGATTAAGGGATGTAATTGAATATTTATTGTGCAACAGAACATGTAAATGTTTTTGTTTTCACAATGACATTTGTTTGGAATGAGGCGTATGAGTAATATAATTTGTAGTTTAAAGCAAGTAAGTATATTCAGTATACGTCATTCTAACGTAAAAAGAAACACTCTTTTCATCTTAATTTTTATACCCTTCACCTTCGTAGAAGGGTATTAATGTCGAGTGCTTTACGTGAACAGCTGCCATGTTGGCCTATTTCACGGTGGTCTTTTGCAACTACTGGGTGAGCTTTTGTAACGACTCACCTCCGCCCCATTGTGCTTCTTACATATATGTAAGATCCGGTCCAGTGTACGTGCTCAAGTACTTGAGCTATCTAATCTCTTAACTTCCGAGATGCAAAAACATCACTTCCGTTTACAACGGAAGCTGATGGGATGGCCTCTGTTGAGTCGGCAACAGCACCTACATAGAGACATAACCGGTAGACCGAAGTACGAATCCATCAAATAAGCCGAGACTTTGTCATACACACAGTGACACACTGTGGTAACTGACAAGACAGGACGAGTCCTGCGGGCAACTGGCCCACCGTAGTACCAGATTATGTGGTTCTCTGTTTAGACCCCATGTCAAATCATTCCAAAGACTAGCCGAGGAGAGAAATGACATCACCAGATTATAGTTCCGGTAGACTAGAGGTACTGATAGCACCTCTTTACCCTGGGACTGCAATACACCAAGATGATGGTCTTTCATCAAGGAAATAAGAGGAACGTGAGAAAGGTATATATAAGTTTGTCATTCCGTTTGTAATTTCCACAATATAATTTTCCGACCCTATAAAGTATATATATTCTGAATCCTTATAGATATGAGTCGATTAAGCCATGTGTGTCTGTCTGTCTGTCCGTCTGTGTGTCTGATTAAATCAGTTTTCTGAAGACCCCAGATATCTTCGGGATCCAAATCTTCAATTATTCTGTCGGACATGCTTTCGAGAAATTTCCTATTTAAAATCAGCAAAATCCGTCCATAAATAATTTTAATACATAATCAATTAATACATATCAATAATAAAATCAGTATGTTGTTTAAATTGTTGATGTTAAAATTATGTATCTGACTTTAACATTAAGCAAAGTGGTCTGTTCAGTACAGTTTTAAAAGCATTGCATGCAAAAAAAGCTTTCTGTTAAACATATAACAGTAAATGGAACTTAAACATTTCCAAAAGTAACAGTGTTAAACTAACAATAAATGTTAAAATTCTACTTCCATACAGCAGTGACGACAAAAATTGGGTTAACAACATACAAAAACAACAATAACAAACATACATTTGTAAAGAAAAGAACAGCAATAACAATTGTTGTGGATGATGTGACGATTTACGAGTGTGAATATTTATGTTTGTTCGTATGTATGTACATTCGTAACATTTGTTAATTTGTATGTTTATGTGTTCGTTTGTTTTGTTTTAGTTGTTGTTTCTTTTGGTAGCAATTGAACCACTGTTACCACTACCACCGCAAACATGTAAAGCACATTCGTAAATTCATTTGGACGACTGTTAAAAAGCAAAAGAAGCAGAATTAGCAGCAGCATATTGTTGTTGCTGTTGCTACTGTTGGCTGTGTAAGTAACACGGTGGTCGCTGCTGACAAGGTTCAGGCATTGCAGATGGATGTATGGATGGATGTTGGTTGGTTATTCGGTCCGTCGGTTGCTACGTTAGATAAATGGACCCAAAAACTACTAGATGGATGAATGGTGTTTGCCCTGAACACAAAAAATTTTAAAATAAAACAACAAAACTAGAAGAAAATATCGAACTGAAATTTTAAACACAAAAATGTGTAATGACGTTGCAGATGGCACATAAAAATTTACAAAAACTCACAAAAAATATACTACAAAAATGTTAAACGAAATTTCAAATAATAAAAAAAAATACAAATAATATAACAAAAACATCATAAAGTTTTGTTAGCAAACTACCAGAGAATTGAGTTGAGTTCAGTTTATTTGAAATTCATTTCAGAATGTTTGTAACTAAATACAACTAAAGATGTAAAGGTGTGTAAGTTTGTGCAAAAGTTTTATTGAATGTTTATAAAATAGTAAATTTATTTGTTTATATTTGTGTGTGTTTTTTAATAAAACTTTAAGAAACCAGGGAATTCCTTTAGTCCTCAATTCTAAACAAATGTACATCTGCATAAAAAGTGAGTGTGTTTTTATGTAAATATAAAAAGTTTAGTTAATAAAACAAGAAACCAAGGATTTTTGTGTCCTGGTCCATTCGATTGTTTCGCACTTGTTTTATTATAAAAAAGGTGATGGAAATTAGTTTTATTTTGTTCACATCTTTGTATTTTTATTTGGTTTATTTATTTTTTATTTTTCGTTCATTTATGTGTCTGTTTGTTTATTACATCTGAGAGTAATAAATATTTGAATGTCGTATTGTTTGGGGAATTTTCCCAATGTTATCGTGTGTACAATTGCATATTTATTTGTTTTTCTAGTTTTATGTAATATTCGTTTCATAAATTTAATTTCTAAGATGTGTCTCTAAACAATTATTTTGTTAGTTTTTATTAAATGAATTCAATTTGAAGAAATTGTAAAAATAGGTAAAATAAATTTTAAAAGTTTGTTACATACCAAATAATGCTTCTTACCAAATAATGCTTCTAACTAACTAACTAACTAACTAACTAACTAACTAACTACTAACTAACTAACTAACTAACTAACTAACTAACTAACTAACTAACTAACTAACTACTAACTAACTAACTACTAACTAACTAACTAACTAACTAACTAACTAACTAACTAACTAACTAACTAACTAACTAACTAACTAACTAACTAACTAACTAACTAACTAACTAACTAACTAACTAACTAACTAACTAACTAACTAACTAACTAACTAACTAACTAACTAACTAACTAACTAACTAACTAACTAACTAACTAACTAACTAACTAACTAACTAACTAACTAACTAACTAACTAACTAACTAACTAACTAACTAACTAACTAACTAACTAACTACTACTAACTAACTAACTAACTAACTAACTAACTAACTAACTAACTAACTAACTAACTAACTAACTAACTAACTAACTAACTAACTACTAACTAACTAACTAACTAACTAACTAACTAACTAACTAACTAACTAACTACTAACTAACTAACTAACTAACTAACTAACTAACTAACTAACTAACTAACTAACTAACTAACTAACTAACTAACTAACTAACTAACTAACTAACTAACTAACTACTAACTAACTAACTAACTAACTAACTAACTAACTAACTAACTAACTAACTAACTAACTAACTACTAACTAACTAACTAACTAACTAACTAACTAACTAACTAACTACTAACTAACTAACTAACTAACTAACTAACTACTAACTAACTAACTAACTAACTAACTAACTAACTAACTAACTAACTAACTAACTAACTAACTAACTAACTAACTACTAACTAACTAACTAACTAACTAACTAACTAACTAACTAACTAACTAACTAACTAACTAACTAACTAACTAACTAACTAACTAACTAACTAACTAACTAACTAACTAACTAACTAACTAACTAACTAACTAACTAACTAACTACTAACTAACTAACTAACTAACTAACTAACTAACTAACTAACTAACTAACTAACTAACTAACTAACTAACTAACTAACTACTAACTAACTAACTAACTACTAACTAACTAACTAACTAACTAACTAACTAACTAACTAACTAACTAACTAACTAACTAACTAACTAACTAACTAACTAACTACTAACTAACTAACTAACTAACTAACTACTAACTAACTAACTAACTAACTAACTAACTAACTAACTAACTAACTAACTAACTAACTAACTAACTAACTAACTAACTAACTAACTAACTACTAACTAACTAACTAACTAACTAACTAACTAACTAACTAACTAACTAACTAACTAACTAACTAACTAACTAACTAACTAACTAACTACTAACTAACTAACTAACTAACTAACTAACTAACTAACTAACTAACTAACTAACTAACTAACTAACTAACTAACTAACTAACTAACTAACTAACTAACTAACTAACTAACTAACTAACTAACTAACTACTAACTAACTAACTAACTAACTAACTAACTAACTAACTAAACTAACTAACTAACTAACTAACTAACTACTAACTAACTAACTAACTAACTAACTACTAACTAACTAACTAACTAACTAACTAACTAACTAACTAACTAACTACTAACTAACTAACTAACTAACTAACTAACTAACTAACTAACTAACTAACTAACTAACTAACTAACTAACTAACTAACTACTAACTAACTAACTAACTAACTAACTAACTAACTAACTAACTAACTAACTA